GTTGAAGTTGAATGCAGCTCTAGAAATTTCCTGGGGTACCTAATAAGTCAACGCGGCGTCGAGGCCAACCCAGAGCAGATAAAGGCTATTATGGATGTACATAGCCCTTGGACCATCCGGACGTCCAGAAGCTTACGGGAATGTTGGCCGCCTTAAATTGTTTTATATCATGGTCGTCAGACAAAGTACAGATCTTTTTTCGGCTCTATCAAGAGGTTCAGGAAGCACATTTGGAATGAAAAATGCGAAAAGGCGCTCGGAAGGGTCAAGAAGTATCTCAGAGTCTCTCGACCCTTTCGATTCCAAGAAAAGGGGAAGATGTTATTCCTCTACTTGGTCGTTTTTGAGTTTGCCATCAATGGCGTACTCGTCCACAAGCATGCACATAAGTAGAAGCTGGTGTACTATGTAAGCAAAACTCTCTTGGACACGGAGACACGATACTTACCTTTGGAGAAAATGGAATTGGCACTAGTCACAGCTACACGAAAGTTGAGGCATTACTTTCAAGCGCACCTTATCATCGTCCTGACGGATCAAACTTTGAAGACGATCCTAAGGAAGGCGGACCTCTCCAGCAAGATAGCGAAATGAGTCATGGAGTTGGGGGAACATGTCATCCACTATAAGCCTTGCACATCGATAAAGAGACAAGTGTTGGCGGACTTCATTGCTGAATTTAGTCAAGGAGAACCATTTCCCCCCAAGGGAGAGTTCTCAACGGACGGCGAGGAGCACTCTTGGAGACTCTGCATGGACGGATCCTCCAACAGCAAAGGGTCTAGAATTAGAGTGTTATTGGTCTCCCCGGAAGATTGGTCATAGAGAAAGCGGTACAGTTGGGTTTCAAGGTGTCCAACAATGAGGTGAAGTACGAAGCTCTTATCTCTGGGCTAAAACTCGCAGATGCTGCGGGCTCTGCAGAGCTAACGGTCCTTTGTGATTCTTTACTGGTGATTAACCAAGTCAAAGGAGAGTTTGAAGCGAGGGATCCAAGGATGAAAGTCTATCACCATAAGGCAATGACCTTACTCCACAAGTTCAAGAAGGTGGAGGTCAAGTAGGTCCCTCGAGATAAGAATGTCCATGCCGACACTTTGGCATGCCTGGCCTCGACATTGGACTGTGACATGACATGCAGGATCACCGTGGAGTTCCTTCCCAACTCCAACATAAACGATGTCCTGGGGGTGATTGCAATCCAAGAATGGAAAGAGCTCCCTAGCTGGATTGATTCGCTACTCAAGTTCCTAGTATCTAAAGAGCTCCCAAAATGTCTCAAAGAAGCCAGGAAGATAAAGTTGAGGGCTCCAAGGTTCTGGGCCTCCTCAGATCAAAAGTTATACTAAAAGTCATTCTCAGAGCCCTATTTGCTTTCTATCCCTGAGGATAAAGTTGAGCCCCTCCTGTACAAAGTGCATGAAGGCATATGTGGGGGTATTCGGGTGGAAGATCTATGACATATCGGATCATGTCGCAAGGGTATTGATGGTTGCGAATGCAAAGGGATGCGTAGGCTTACGTACAAAAATACGATCAATGTCAAATGTTTGCCCCCACCACCAAGCAATCAACGGGAGATTTACACCCGCCAACCAATCCATGGTTGTTCGCCCAATGGAACTCGACTGGTCGGACCCCTTCCAAGGGCTCTTGGGACAAGAAATTCCTAATAGTTGGGACCGATTACTTCACAAATTCGGTGGAAGCTGAGTTATTGACTCACATTAGGAACACAAACACCAGAAAATTCGTGTGAAAAAATATAGTGACAAGATTTGGGGTCCCCTGCGCGCTTGTATTGGACAACAGAACTCAGTTTAACAGTGTTTTGTGAGCACCTCGAAATCCAAAATTACTACTCCATGCCTTCATACCCACAAGCCAATGGACAAATGAAATCTTCAAACAAGACTATCATCAATGGAATCAAGAAGAGGCTGGAGAAAGCTAAGGGAAGGTGGGAGAAGGAGCTCCTAAATGTCGCTTGGTCTTACAAGATGACTCTGCGGATCTCGACGGGGGAGACACCTCATGCACTCACCTACAGAGTAGAGGCGGTTATCCCGCTGGAAGTAGGCCTCCCCACTATAAGAATGCAAGCTTTTGACACCGGAGAGAACAATCACTAACTCAGCCTGGACTTAGATCTCACGGAGGAAAGAAGAAAAACAGTTGCCTTGTGATTGACGAAATACCAAGAAGAGGTGTCCAAGCTCTACAATAAAAGAGTGAAACCCCAAAAATTTCAAGTAGGTGACCTAATGTTTATAAGAGTAGTTGGAAATACTAGCAACCCGACTGATGGAAATATGGGACCCAACTGGGAGGGACCATACAAAGTCGTATCAGTAGGAGGTTTCGAGTTATATAAGTTAGAGGATATGGAAGGAAATGCAGTAATTTGGCCTTGGAATGTAATGAATTTGTAGAAGTATTATTTTTTAGAACAAAATGCTTATTTTCACTAAGTGTATTGTCCTAGACCGGACATGGCCCCGAAGGCAGAATGTTCAAGGAAGGCTCCTGTCTCCAAAGAAACAAAGGAGCATACCTCCTGGAAAGGACATGACCCCGAGGGAAAAGTTTTTATAGACTCCTACCCCCAAAGAAACAAAAGAGCAAGCCTCCTAGAGGGGCATAGCCCCGAGGGTGAGGCCTTAGAAAGAGACTCACCTCAAAAAGACCTAATGAGTCCTTAGAAAAAGACTCACCCCAAAAAGACATAAGGACCGAAGCCTCTTGGGGGCATGGCCCCGAAGGTGAGGCCTTAGAAAAAGATTCACCCCAAAAAGACCTAAGGACCGAAGCCTCCTAGGGGCATGACCCTGAGGGTGAGGCCTTGGAAAAAGACTCGCCCAAAAAAACCTAGGGAGCGAAGCCTCCTAAAGGGGCATGACCTCGAGGACAAGGCCTTAGAAAAAGACTTGCCCTGAAAAGACTCAAGGAGGGAAACCTCCTATATGGTTAAAGGCCCCGAAGGCAGAAACTTTAAAGAAAACCTGCCCCAAGGGGACAATCTCGGCATGGTCCGGGACAAAGTCTCCTAGGAAGGCTTATCCCGGTAACGGACCCATGGTACTGAGTAGGGATGTCAATGGACCGAAGCGAGGGCAGAGGGTATAGTCTTTATTCTTGTACCCGCTTAAAAAACTTTCGTCCATCCCCGGTCCACCCCCGTTAACAGGTATAATTTTCATCCCCATTCCCGTCCACGAGTAAATTTATAATCCCCGTTCCCGCTTCCCTTGTACCCACCCAATCCCAAGCATAAGCCCAAGCCTAAGCCCTAGTTCAAGTCAACATAATCCAAAATTCTAAATAAATCCAACATTTTAAATAATTCAACAACATTCTAAATAATCTAACATAACATAATGTAGCATAAAATATTCGAACATAATACAAACAACAAATGTCCAAAATACTACTTAAATTTGATATAATTCAACATTACACAACATAACACAAATAACATAATGGGTGGTAGAATCATCTCAATCATCTCTTTAACACCAGTTTCACACCAATTCAATCATCTATTAACACCATTAGTGGTGGTAGAATCTACTTCTTCAACATCATTTTCCTATATCATTAAAAGAAAAAAATAATTAGTTTCTTTCAAAAAGAAATTTTCAACTAAAACGATTTACCTCATCATCAATATCAAGATCCTCCGATAATGTGTAACTCTTTAGGCTCGTCGAAGTAGATGAACTTAACAAAAAAAAATAATGCATTAGTGCTATATCGAGTGCTATATTGAGAACCAAGACATGAATAAAAAAACAAAAAGACAATTCTTATGTCCCTAAAGTTCAATAGTTAACAGTTCAATATAAAATTTCTTATGGGACAACACCAACAGACACAAGGCTCTAATATGGGAAACCCAATTCCATACACAGATTTGTTAAAACCACTCACTTAGATTTGTTAAAACTTACGTGTAACCATCAATTAGGCAACCCAATTCGATACACAGGCCTGTAATAACCACCAATACTAACACCAATAAGAACTAAATGGTTCATGAAACTACTGATATATTTCACCTCAATGTATCAGTCAAAACAACCTTACTTCCCCCCCTCCCCCCGAATGAAAAGCTTTACATTCATGCACCAAACACTATTAGTTTCTCTTAACCATTCTCAATATTGTCTTGATGTTCCACTCCAAATGGGTTTCCCAGATTTTTTATGATATTTCTTATATAATCCGAAAGTCTCATATATACCTACAGTATATAATTTGGGAATCTGGGAGGATTACATTTCTGCCATAAGAAGAAAGTATACAGATTCATGCAAAATGATCGGTGTCAACAAAACAATAACAGATGCAAACTTGTGGAATCGCAGATACAAGCACAATTTTTTAGCCATGGACAAGTGACTAGAAGAATCAATATTTCTTCAACAAAAATTAAGGAAAGGCCTCTAGCATAAGCAAAGGAGAGCTCTGGGATTAAGCAAATAAAGCTCTTCAAAATTTGAATAAAGACCAACTTTCCTGGCCAATGAATCGAACCCCACCTGGCCAGCCATTTCTTGTATGTTCTCCATACTCATTATTCAAAGATATACATATATACAGATTATATGAATATTTTCTCAAACAGGAAAAAAGAAAATAGAAGCAAATTCCAAACAAATATAACCATTACTACCAAAAAAGAAAACCGAAAAAAAAACAAACAAGGGAAAATGATCGGACATTCATACAAAAATACTCGTGAATACAAAGAGACAAATGAATCAACCCAACGACGCAAAGATAGTTAAAGTGTATGAACCAAAGATTAAAAAAAGCCCCAAGTTCAATAATGAGATGTAAATCAAAGGAATTATATGATTTCAATTCGTGAAACTCTCATCATATGATTTCAATTTCAAAAAAATAAAAGGAATTAATATTCACTCAGAGACTGTCATACAAAGAGTCAGAGAGGAGAGAGAAAGAACCTGGGATGCTTGTGCCTGGTTTGTAGCTTTGAAGATAAGACAGCGAGAGGGGCGAGAGTCTCTGGGACTCAAAGAGGAGGAGGCACTAGGGATCAATCGACTGAGAGAAACAGAGAGAGGTGAGAGGCGAGAGTCTCGAAGAGGAGTGTGTGTGTGAGAGAGAGAGAGAGGGGGGAGGTGCTAATAGGGGAGGAAGAGTAACTTAGGCGCCTTAGGATTTAACGGGTATAACGGGGACGGGGCGGGGGTAAGAGTAAGTCCATCCCCACACAGGTTTATACGGATATCTCGTATACGTCCACCGTCCAATACGTATAATCCATCCCTGGTCCAAACGGGACGGGTTTGGACGAATACCCATTTTTCTCTGGTCCACTGTCATCTCTAATGTTGAGGTCCCCAGTAAAAGACTTGGCCCTGATGGCAAAGACAAGAAAGGAAAAGAAAGCAACACTTAGCAAAAGAAAAAAACACCCTTGCATTCCAAAAAGGAGGGCTTTACGTCCCTCAAGCTACAAGAATTGAAAATTAAGTTGCAAAACAAAAAAAAACAAAAAGCTGCTCTATGGTGGGCTAGTAACCTTGCCACTGATACCACCTCTGATGCCACCAAAAAGCTCATCAATGCTGGTGGAGAAGGAGTCGGTGCTATGAGAGGAAGACGTTATGTCGGTGCATACCATAGAAGCTTCGTCCTGAGGGGCAGGCTCGACGTCGGCAGAGACAGGAGCAACCTCGACTGAAGCATCGGCAAACACAAGAGTAGCATCATCCCGAGGGGCCGGAGTTGGGGTCGCATTCTCGGCTGAAGGAGCTGGATTTGGAACTTGAGGCGCCCCGACACCTCAGCCACAACCTCGGCTGCAACTTGCACCATCTCCTCGAAGGGTATGTACTCGTGCTCCTTGAAGAGTGGGGACTCGATAAGGACCCCGACTGCCCGAAGTGCCTCATCCTACCCAATCTTGAAGTACTCCCTCTTATTCTCCTCTAAGGCCACCAGGATGTGTCGACGCATCGATTGACAATCTCTTGCTCCGACAACTTTTTGGCCTCCAACTCAATCCTTAACTTGTCCAATTCTTGAGTGAAGAAGGCACAAGTTTGCTCTGAATTGGCTACCCTCGATGATCCTCTTTTCGGCATCAACAAACGAAGCCTTGACCTTATCAGGTTCCCCCTTGGCGGCTTGGCTCTCTTTGAAGAGCCCGGTAATTTGGCCCCCTTGAGTGTGCAGATCACCTCCTCCTTAGCCGTGGCGAGTGCCCCTGGGGCTTTCTCAAGGTCAACTTGGAGTCTCTCACACTCTTAGACCTTGTCTCGATGGGCATGGAAATGCTCGACAATGATGGACAATTTTTAAGCTGCCTAGAAGACAAAGGGAGGAAAGTCACACTCAAAAAGACGCTAAAGCAAAAAGAAATTTTTTTTTAGAAATGTTGAAGCTTACCACCAATGAATTTTGGATAAGGGAGCGGAACAACTAATTGTTCCCTCGCCCTTGGTGGATCGCCATGTCAGCATCAAAGTGGATTGCCTCATCACAGCATAGGTGGTGTGAGAAGAGGCAACGAGGGAGTCGATCACTCAAATCGATAGGTTATCCCAATCTCGGGCCCTACCATGCCACTTTGGAGTAATTGGGGTCAGCATCGATGTGGACGTGGGGGCCGGCGTTGGAGTTGACGTTGGTGTCAAGGTAGGAGTTCCTCGACCGAGACTAGCGCCATCCTACCTTTGCTTTATTCTTCTTTCCTAGGGTTAAGGATCTCTGACGTGGACTCAACAGCGTCCTTACGGTGTCGACGCCACAGGTGCATTGATTGGTGGAGGAGTTGGGAAGGGGTGTAGACCCTTGGATTACGACCCCAGAAGGATGAATGCATCCTGATTAGGGTGACCTCAGAGCCTGAGCCGCGTCCACATCCGGTAGTAAGTGCGGCTCTTTCCTTGATTAAGTTGAGGGAAAGACAAAGCGGGTTGGACATAGAGATCTCCAAGGCGTCTTCTTCCTCAAGGTTTTGTAGAACGTCAAAGTCTAGCCAAACGTCCCTGCCCAAAGTACTTTCCTAAGCATGGATGGTGGCGGAAGGATCTCTTGTCTCCTTGGTGTCGACAACTGTGTTTTCAGCAGCCTCTGTCCTGGCTTCAATGGCTATGTCGAGGTCTTCTTCTAGGTTTTTGCTCGATAACGCCAACCACCTTCCTCGGTCAAACGATTGAGGGGTCTAGGAGAAGTTTTTGTACCCCGGAGTGTAGTCTAATAGCACGTGCGTAGCTTAGCCAAATTCGTTGCCCACAAATTCCCAGGCTATGATGATGTTGTCGAGGTTAACTTGATTCTAAGGATGTGCAGCAGACTCAGCGTTGAAGATTCCTGTAGAAGACAAAAAGGGGGAAAATGTTAAAAAATAAGTATGAAAACGCCGTAACTATAAGCCGAAGAGAGAGAGAGAGAAAGAGAGAAAGAAGCTGACATACTTGTAGTGTAGTCTGCCACTGCTTGGTGCACCACAAGTCGGCGTACTCGGGGCCGACTCCCCTTTCCCATTGACTGTCGAAGGCGAACAGGTCATCTTTATACCCATTGTCAAAGTCTGGAAGGTAGGTCACAAGGTACATGGCGGGATCTCGGGCCTTGGTAGTAGTTTTGTTTGGCCATCACCCTCACCAAAGAATAACATAAAAGAATCTCCTCCTGGCCGAGATTCAATCGCAGACGCTCGTTTAGGGCAACCACCCCATGATGATCATAAAGGTGTTTAGACAACACTGTCCCAGGAAGAGGCGAAATCAGGACAGGAAACGAAGAAGAAGGGTGGAGGGGAAATCTAATGGCACCTTCCATGATGGCTTTGGTATAGAAAGGCATGGCCTCCTTGGTGCCGACGGTGACATTATGAAGACCAGGCACGAAGTCATTTACAGTGACCCAAGGGGGATGGAGTAGTAGGTCTTGAAGTTAGTGATTTGTTGACGACCTTTGACTGTGTATTTCCTCAGCCTCGAGGGACCAGTCTTATTGGCCCCAGTGTTTGTGTTTTGACGACGTCTCTTGACTGTGTATTTCCTCAGCCTCGAGGGACCAGCCTTATTGGCCCCAGTGTTTGTGTTTTGACGACGTCTCGTCATGGAATGGACAGAAAGGAGACTCAAAGATAGGATTCCTAGAGATGGGACCCTAAGAATGGATTGAAGAAGACTAGGAAACAGGACTCAAGAGGGGAGTAGTCACTACTGAGAGAGAAAGAAGAGCAATAACTCACCAATGAACATGATTCTGATACAGAGGAAGGGTTGGACGTTCCTTTCTCCGGTGGATTCTAAGAGATTGGTGGCTTTTAGATGAACTGAGGCTTTTTTGTTGGAACTCCGGTGAAGATTTCTTCAAGTTGCAGGATTTGAGAAAATGAGAGAGAAGGGCAAAGGATCAGTTTAAATAAGAAGGCAAGTCCCATTATTACGCACAAGGCACGGAGGAGGCGCCTTAAATGAGGCTCAGGACCCAAGAAAAGGAAAGTGGCTGCATGAAAAGGCAGGGGTCAAGTTCTTTCATCTCCCTCCGCCATGTTATCCATTCCGTACGAAGATCAAGGTCTGGGGGGGTAGTATATGGGACTTTTCCATGAATTTATAGGGAGATGACACGTGTCCTCAACATGATGAACGTGGAGGCTCTATGAATCAACACGTGTCCTTGACGCAACAAGACTCGGACCCTCCATAATTCAACATGTGTCCTCGGCTCAAGACTCCTCAGATCTCTCTAAGACTGACATATGTCCTCGGCATTAGTCCCTTTCGAAACATTCGTCACTTCACACTCATCCTCGGTGTCCCAAATCCCCTAAGGATCCCTCCACCTAACACGTGTCCTCAACGTCGAGTCCCTACTCCGCCGAGCTGTTGACGATCATCTTGGAGCTTGCCCTATGTCAAATGGTTAAGTTCTTAAAGGAATCAAGAATGACGTCACCACATTAAAGGTTAGATTGGCTATTAATCATCAATTCCCTTTCCGAAGGCAACCAAAATGGTTGCAAAGACAGTTTAGCAACCAATAAGGAAGACGTACGGAGAACAAGATATATAATTCCTGACTCCTTAGGGGTGATGGACGAAAGTGCCCCTACGCCTGTGCAGCCACAACCAAGGCTCATTAAATGACCCAACAAAAGGATGTGACATATTATTGCTCAGTGAAGTCAAAAAAGCAAGCATTAAATGCTCAGGAATTCGGGTATTAAATGCAAAAACTTCTACCACGTGAAAAGGAAGGCACCCTACTCAAAGACTGTGCACCACATGTTGCTTTCCAAGTAAGCCAATGAGTAGTTTTCCTTTCAAGGGACCCAGTCGTCCGCAATGATTAACTCCAAGGAGGTATAAATAACACTTTCAAACACAAGTCTAAGACATCAAAATCTCACCCAACTAATTGAACAGTGTTTTTCTAACCCTCTCTCAAATATTGACTTGATCGTCGAAGGGATCATGCCGAAAAATACTTCGGGACCCTCTTAACCCTTCTTTTTGAGTGACAACACTCAATTCGATAACTCAAGAGTGACCAAAGTGAGTTTGGAAAGAGTTCCATCATCTTCTGTTACCATCTCTCAACACTCATTTGCTATGGAACCTGAAGTTTCCAAGCAAGTTCAAGTTCATCAATGGAGTGATTTGTCAATCTATTTCTTGTGCAAAAATCATCGCGCACAATAATATATGGGAAATTAGTATGTTGTATACTTGTGTTCTCACTCATACTTCCTACTCCCTTTTGCTAAAAGGGAAAAACACTGTTCACTTTGATGCTTTACCAATTATATCAAGTAGGAAGATAACACAAATTGTCAATAGAGGAATTAATGAAAATGGAGTTTGTCCAATATGTGATACGATCACATTCTAAATTTTTTTAAATAAATCTAGGGGCATGGAAAGTGAGCTAAAATTAAAATGAATAGTAAATTATAACATTTAGTAACAATGGTTTCACCGACACGAAGATGACAGTGGTGACAATCGAGAAGCAAATCTACACAAGTGGGTACTAAAAGTAAGAATGATGAAGGTAAGCAGAGTGAAACGACATCGTCGGATCTTTTTCTTCTTCCTCGAGTTTCATCAAGAATGTGGATTTTCTTGAAAGATTTTCTCTAAAAAAGCAAAATGAATGAAGAAACAATACCTACAAGTTCTAGTCTTTTTTATAGTTTTCACATGCGAATGAAATGAAAACAGAAAAATTCCAACGCCCACATCATCATCAAATTCACCTACAACAACAACGGCGACTATGGAGTCTGTGGAGAGGAAAAGAGTGAAACAAAGAATGAAATAGGCAAACAAGAAGAAAACAACAAATGGGAATATGGCGAACGGGGTAGGGAAGAGGAGGATGGGTGGTCTGTCGGCTCATGAGGCGCATTACATGGACAATAGGGCTGAGGCAGAGGGCATGAGGAAGAAGACATTCTTGCCGTACAAACAAGGCTTGCTTGGGTGTTACAGTTTCAGTTCTAAGAGTCATGGTGCCATGAATGGGTTTGTCAAAACTTTGAACCTTGTTTTCTCAAGGTAAATGTGTCTATATGGGGTTTTGATTCTAGTGGTTATACATTTTTTTTAGTATTTTTTTGTTTGATTTTGATTTTTTTTGTTTTGAAAAGAGAAGTTGTTGCCTTTAATAGATTTGTTTTGGCCAATTATGGAAAATTTGGGGTTCTACTTATCCCCAATTTACATAGAACAAAAATTGGATAACTTTATATATTTAAGACCTATTTCAACATTGTTGCTGGATTAGGGGTATGAGGACAGTCAATCACCCCAATGCTGTAATAAAATATATTCGGTCACCTAATTTGGTATAATTCGTATACAGTAATACTAGGTTAACTATTATTAGGAAACAAATTTATAATCTGATGTGGTAAAGAAAGTGATTGACTCACACAGAACAAATAAGGGGCTCAACTATACTTTATTGGTTTATAGGTTTTGGCACATCATTTGGACTATAATTTTCGTCCAATTTTTTGGTCACTTTAATTTTTTTTGTAATAATTTTGTCTACAAAAGAAGGGAAGCACTTCACAAGCTCTCCCCCCCTTCCTTCCCCACATTACCCACACACCACAAACCCCTTCTGTCTCTCTCCAATTAGCCCCTTCATTCCTCTTGGTTGAGCATGTTTCCATTTGCTCGACCCAACTTGTGAGAACTAAATGATAAGAGGCATGGTGCTACGGTTATGTGTTTCTTTTTTTGAATTATTTTTTTGTTATGATGAAGGATTGTTGTGAAATTATTGGTATGGAATATACCATGCAATGGAGCACTAATTGTGTTTGTATTTTTATTTTGTCAATATGTTTGTGTTTGTATGTCACATTGTATCAAGATTGTGTGTGTATGTGTGGCACAGTGTGTGCGACACTGTGTGTATGCATCATTATGTATGTCAAAATGTTGGTGTGTATGTTTGATTACTTAGTGTGTATATTTTTTTGGTAATTAGGGTGTATTTTTTTGGTGCAATAGTGAATGTGTGTCAAAGTGTGGGTGTGTATGTTTGATTACTTAGTGTGTATATTTTTTTGGTTATTAGGGTGTCTTTTTTGGTGCAATAGTGAATGTATGTCAAAGTGTGGGTGTGTATGTTTGATTACTTAGTTGTATATTTTTTTGTTGATTAGTGTGTGTTTATTTTAGTGTAATAGTGTGTATGTATCTATGGTGTAATAGTGTGTATGTGTATTTTGGTGTAATAGTGTGTATGTGTGTATTTTGGTGTAATAGTGTGTGTGTGTGTGTGTTTGTATGTGTGTTTATTTTGATGTAATAATGTGTATGTGTGTTTATTTTGATGTATAATGTGTATGTGTTTATTTTGATGTAATATGTGTATGTGTTTATTTTGATGTAATAATGTGTATGTGTTTATTTTGGTATAAGTATGTGTGTATGTTTATTTTGGTGTAATAGTGTATCTATACATTGGTGTAATAGTGTGTATATTTATTTTTTGTGTAATAGTGTGTGTCTATGAAGAGTTTTAATTATTTTATGGGCTAATGGGTTTAACACAATTTATTATAATTCAACCCATTATAATCCATTTAATACTTGAGTGGAAAATGGATTGGATTCAACACATCAATATCCATGTATTAAGGAAGCAACACATACACACAAACATGTCAATGGAAAGATTTATTTAAAAAAAAAACACATCTCAAACATTATGGTTGTTTCGTTCATATAGGGTGGATAAAAAGTGACACTATAATGATACATCAATTCATAGACAATGTGCCTTCATAGTATTATTTTTCTCTAAAAACTTCTAAATTTTAGGTTTTTCTCATATTATATATATAACATACATACAATATAGATCACTTAATATTGATCTTCATACAGCTTGTGTATTCATGAATGTCCTAAAGGCACCGCATAACAAACAAAATTTTTAATCTATTTGACGTCCTTAGAAGCTTAAATGTGTTGGGTGCTGCTCACTATCGGCGAGTTTGGGTGTTGTTCACTATCAAAACTATAGAACTCATATTGAGTTCAAAACCAATTTGACAAACCATTTAAATATCTAAATGAGATGTTTTTTGTATACACAGCAAAGTAATTTGACCAAAATGGGAAGTTGAGATCCGAATTGGATGATGGACTTAGGACTTCTCTATGCAAAATTTGTACCCAAGCCTCCTACTACTACACATTACCCAACACCTACATAACTGTCCACCATTACACAACATCTCAAACACTACCCACCAGCACCAAATATTTGTACCCACAACCACTCATCACCCAAGCCCCCTGCCACCACATCCCAACACCTCCACAACCGCCCACCAACACCTACACTAATCACCCACCAACACCCAACACCCATAATCACGCACAACACAAGCCCCCTACCACCACATTGCCACATCATTGCAAGAATTATATTTGTTAGAATATAAAAATTTCAGCATGGAAATATGCGACATTAGTTTGAAAATGAAAATTAAGCAACAAAGCATCAGATAGTATGATGTTTAAAACTCAATATTAAAATACACTTAACTTGAGGACCCTATATACAATTCAACAATGAAAAAATCTAAATCACAGGATGGAGAATGACTGAGAATAAGATGATCGCTTCAATAACCAATTCAAAGTCAAAATTACAGCACAAAACAGAAAAAACCTAGGTCGGACAAAAGAGCAAAGCATCATCTATCCCTCATTGTTTAGTGGTCGTGGACAGTACTTGAATTGACCAAAATAGCTTACAGCTTCTAGCTTTGGCAAGGCATCCAATATAGAATCCATTTCACTTACCTCGCGTCCTAAACATATGTACATAACAATTAGAACATAATACTTGAATGTAGAAGAGAAAATGGTAGGCAACATACAAATTGAAACTCTCTGCAGTATGATGGAAAAAAAGTACACTTATAATAATTGCATAAGAGGAACGTGGATAAGAGTATATTTACTGTGTAAATAATAATCAACATCAATCCATTCAGTAGAGTGACAGAATTTTACACATCTAAAATACTTCCAGTCTGCTTTCTAGTATAAGATACACACATGGAAAACACAACATAAGTCCTCCAAAAAATATGTAAAGCACCTTGTAGCATCATTTTTGTAAGACCTACAGAATTTTGAGGATATGCCACGCTCAATATACTTCAAAGGGAAGCAACATAGTTATGTTCTAGTTCTCCAGGCAATTGCCAAGTCATTAGTGCACTTTCTGTTGTAAATAGCATGATGTGTAACATGATTTATCAATGAACTTTGAAGCAAAAAATATTTGAAACAGCTCCTAAAGCAGGTTGCACTACAAATTATGAAAAATTAAGATTAGTCAATGGAATAAATGGAAGTCTTCTGCAAAAAATTGGGGGGGGGGGGGGTGGAATTCCTTATGGAAGGGGGAGAGAGGGTATCAGAGAGCTGAGTGAGAGAGTGAGAGAGAGTCAAGTGAGAGAGATGTAACATTAGATAGTATGAGAGAGACGTAGCATCAAATAATATGAGATAGAGAGAGAGACAGAAGTCTAAGAGTTGTGGAAGGAATGGAATTCTTCAAAAAATTGGGGGAAAAAATTTCACATTAGAACCGTCGGATCAAAACGATCTAAGCTGCGAAAAGCTCAAGAAAAACAATCTAACTACTTTATTATATAGACTAACAATAACTTGTGCCTAAAGTCACTACCGGACACAAAAAAATCAAGTAGTTGAATATCAATATATCTAGCCAATAAGAAAATTATTTTTTCTTCATAGTTTACTATAACTTATGCTTTTAATTTTCCAATTGAAGTACTATCTTTCCATTCATTATAAATCAAGTCAGACTCATTATTTGAGATCCTTTATACTAATAACCAAATGTGTCCAAAAATCAAGAGTTCACACCACAACATCATTTTTAATCATGCTTCAAAGTCCCTAAACTATAACAATCATCCATCAATCCTAGAATATCCCCACTGCATTCTAGAAGTATGGAAAAAAGGCATCATGTAAGATAATAAAACACTACACGATGAAAGAATGTCTAACTTAATATTTTTTTCAACAATTAAACGAACTATAAATTTAGAATACATAATGATGATGCACAAATCGGTTTTATGCACCACCGGTCGAGTGATTAGTATGGTTAATAAAATGCAGCAAGTAAATATGGAGAGAATCAACACAAGCAACACACAAATATAGAGTGGTTCGGTCAGGGTAACCTACTCCACTTTGAAGGGTTTTGGTTGCTAGGGTGTTATATTGTTGGAGGAGTGTGGAGGGTTCAAATGAGTCAGGTGTGAGATAACATGCTAGATACAAGATGCGAGAGATGCCCCCCATGTGTAGCCGGGACTTACAATTTATAGTGTCTCTTAACAGATTGAGGCGCATTTCAGGAACTAAAAAGCTAATTTAGTGGACCTAGCATCATCCTCTCAACAGTTGAGGCGGTTACGGAGCCCTCCTTAAGATCGGTCTAAGGATGACGTAGTTGACTTCTTCACTCCTCATTCTAAGGTGGCGTGGATGATGCTCTTGGGATGGTGCTGCTAACTCCTCAACGATGTGGCTCTTGGAGCTTTGATGAGGCTGACCAGACATGGATCTCTGGGCTGGGCCCATCGGGTTTTGTCCAAGCGAGTCCTTTATTCAAGTTGGGCCTTGGGCTAGGCCCATCATTTTCCCCCAATGTCCAGAGTCCAATAAAACTTGGAGAATAGGGCATTTAGCTAAATTTGGACTCTGATTGACAAAGACTCCTCTTAACTAATGACTCCTTTTCTTCTTGATATAGTTCATTTATGTAGGCTCTCTTGCTATGTAAACTCTCCCCCATTACATCGCTTATTAGGATTTAAAAAACCCTAGGCTATAAATTGGGGGTTTTTCCCTTTCTTGTCTTTCCATTCAACTTGAGAGAGGGTTTCTTTTTGAGATACTCAAGAACCCAGGCAAGTGGCAAGATGAATGAGGCTAGTGACTTTGTTCTTGAGATGAGTATTCAGAGATTGATGTCGAGTGAAGGAGGAGGGATGCAAGCTAGAGTAATCGATGTTGATGCAAGGGCTCAGGCGAACGCTAGTGAGGTAGGAGGATTGATTGGCATTGGCGAGGTAGGGACCCAAGCAGGTGTCGAGAGCGACGCGGGGCCTCAACCAGGCGTCAAAGACAAGACGAGAAACCAGGAGGGCGCAGGAAGCGAGGTGCCATGGGTTGGAGCCGAAGGCGAGGTGTTGTGTACTGGCGAGAAGGTTGATTGCAGAGTAGGCATGGCAGAATCGGCGCCCCTGGGTGCTACACGAGGACTGGCGAGCGCGAGGGAGGCGTCACCAGGCGTGGCGATGGAGGATGGGCATGGAGCTGGGAGCCAGAATGGGGTGCCAAGAGGTTGGGTGTGCTGACGCTAGTGGAGCTAGTACCCAAGAGCAGGTGCCAAATCTTTAGTGTTAGGAGCACAGACAGACCTTGTGTGTGCTAGGTGTTAAGCGTAGGAATATAGCAGGAATGAGGTGGCGGTGCCGGATGGCCATAAAAAGGATGAGGCCCGATTGTTGACATTCAATCTAATGTAGTCCCACGAGTTACAAATGGCCTGAGTTTCAAGAACATGCCTAGAGATGGTAAAAACAATGTTACTCTAATATTAAAATATCCAACATGATTACCTGGAGAGAGAGGCAAACACATTGGACTGTAGAATAATAGATGTTTTTTGCATGAGTAAAGATAGAGTATGAGGGTTACTAGTGAGAGAGTTACACCTCTTCAGACCGAGCTTTTAGCGACTCGTGAGAGTTTCTAAGCTGGAGGTAGGTTAACTATGAGGCTGTCCGCATGAGAGTAGAGATAGAATTTGAGAGTTGCTCATGAGAGAACTGCACCTCTTGAGACTGAGCTTTTGGCGACCCGTGGGAGAGTCACTAAACTGGAGGTAGGCTGACTGTGAGGCTACCTACATGAGAACAGAGGAAGAATTTGAGGGTTAGCCCATGGAAGGGCCACCAAGCAGAAGGCTCACTCTAGTAGATGGGTGACAGTCTTTTGGTTTCATCGTCCTCTGATGAAATGTGAGATGAAGGACCTACTTAGTTCAGCAAAAGTGCCTATGGAGGCCGGGGTAAGTTTAGCAAACCACTGGCGAGCAAATCCCTTGAGGGTGGTTGGGAAAACCCTGCACATGATCTCGTCTGGTACGTTGAACAGTTGCATCAGGGATGTGTAGATGTCAAGGTGGTCCAGTGGGTCTTTGGAGCCATCAAAAGCTTCCATGGTTGGCATCTTGAACTTTAGGGGAAAAGGATAGTTGGCTACATCAGTCACAAAGGGTGTGTCAGTATGCCTCACTAGGTACTCGATCATTTCATGTCCTCGCGTCTTGAGGGCGTTGAAGACGTAGCCTAGTTGATTTTGCACCTCTTTGATTTTTCGTCCTATTGGTTGGAGACGCCCTATGAAGGATCGTTGTAGTGGCTTATGTGGTCTCTGTACTGGCTTTTCCTCTCACCTTCTTGCATAGGAGGGTCACTAGCGTAGAAGGACGGAGTCAGCACATAAGGAGGAGAATCCAGGACGCCTGGGCGCCGAGGACGGATGCCTTGACGCTGAGGGGCTCCCTGACGCTGGAAGGCCCTGCTAGGCGAATTTTTTGGGGTGCTTCTCCTCCTGGGGACTGGGGCACAACTTTTTGTGGGTGTCAGACGAGCATTAACTGGAGGATCTGCTAGTTTTGGTTTACCAACAACTGCATTGTCTCTAGTAGTTGTTGTCTGGCTATGGGATTTGCCGCAATGACAGGGTTTGCTAGTGGAAGTAGAACCTCCTCGCGACGTGGTGGATCATCCTCAAGCTGATTCATGGATTTTGTGGTGAATGTCATAGATACAAAATGATGGTTGGCTGAAAACTTTGTCGTTCCCACAGACGGTGCCAAATTGATGATGCACAAACGATTTTATGCACCACCGATCGAGTGATTAGTATGGTTAATAAAGTGCACTAAGTAAATATAAAGAGAGTCAACACAAGTAACACACAAATATAGAGTGGTTCAGTTAGGATGACCTACTCTACTTTGAAGGGCATTGGTTGTCGGGATGTTTTATTGCTGTAGGAGTGTGAAGAGCTCAAGTGAGTTAGATGTGAGATAAGATGTTAGATACAAGATATGAGAGAAGATACTAGATACAAGATGTGAGAGATGCACCTATGTGTAGGCGGGGTTTACAATTTATAGTGCCTCTTAACAGATTGAGGCACTTTTTCAGTTACTAAGAAGCTAATTTAGTGGAGTTGACGTCATTCTCTCAACGGCTAAGGCAATTATAGAGCTCTCCTTAAGATCAGATCTAAGGATGACATGGCTGACTTTTTTGCTCCTCACTCCAAGGTGGCGTGGATGAGGCTCTTGGGATGGCGCTGCTCACTCCTCAACGATGTGAATCTTAGAGCTTTGATGAGACTGACCAGACATGGATCTCTGGGCTGGGCCCATCGGGTTTTGTCCAAGCGAGTCCTTTATTCAAGTTGGGCCCAGGGTCGGGCCCATCAAGTAAAGTCAAGTTAGTAAGATAGTTAGAACCAATAATTTATACATCAAAATGAGAATCCACCAAAAGGAAACTTTTTTTTAAACATAAAAACTCAACCAATTGTTTAATGGGTACAATAGCCTCATACAATGCAATCTGGTACTGCTGCTTTGGCTATATCTTCAATTCCTAACCCACATCAGAAAACACAACAATCAGAATATCCATCCATAGAGAAATAACATGTTACCCCAATTGCATTGTCATTTTATCAGAATTTTGAGTCATTCGATATCACCACCTAGTCAATTTCAGTAAATTCATGTTAAATTTTGCCTAAAAACAAATAAATGTATTCCAAGATAGTGCTCATGCCTGAAGGCATTGTATAACCTAAAAAAAGTTATGCACTACACGAATGATGACATTTAATCAAGTCAAATATATTTTTGATAAACTATTAAACACAAAAAAATTATCAATACAAATAAAATACAAAACAATCTTGTTATCAGCAGTCCAGTGTACTAAAAAAGCAATCATTATCCACTTGTTTAAGTTAATTACAAATGTAAGCAAAAATTCTTAATTAAATAAAAATGAGCACATTAAACATCCCACTTGCGACAATTGTAGGATATCTTCAGAAAATAAACTTTTTTCCTTTAGAACACCATGAATTTCCTCTAAATGAAAAATATCAAAAAATTGGTAGTATGAAAAATGAATCCAAGCAATAGAGAAGGCCTTCCTTACCACCACTAATGCCAACATTAGTTATAGTTGGGGGTAATTCAATTAGCATACTTGGACTTGGTGCCTGCAATGAGATACTACTATTCATTCCTATGCAAGGCAAGTTGGCAATCAAAAAGGCAGTCCACAATCAAGGGAAAAGAACCATTGCCAAGGATTCGTAAATTCACTAAAATATGAAACCAAAAAATAAAAAATAAAAGCAAACTCAAATTCAATACCAGATTGAATGTCAGAAAGAGACATGTAATAAAAAATCGATTGCTAAGTATTCCACAAATCCAAAAAATTTAACACATAATTTAACAAACTTACACATACATTTATAGGGAAAAAATCCATAACAAACACATGAATAACCCAAAACAACAAACCAATTTGGTCGTCATTGCCATTGCTAGCTGGAGAAGAGGTCACCTATTTTCTAATGGATAATCAAGAGTACAGACCAAATAGATACAAACATCATTTCATTTGGTTCATATTGTTTCGCATCATCCACTAAAAAAGTAAGTGCAGTTTCTTGAAGGCAGAAGAACATCACACATACACTCTTCATGAAGGTAAAAGAACTTACTTTCTTGGTCTTTTGTGGGCAAGAAGGGTTTTGGCAGAACTTCTCCAAATTTCGAGCCTTATGTTCCTCTAATAGTCCTCTCGTGTGCACATTTTTCTTCTTATATATTTCTTTGCCTGACAGACTAACCATAGAAATCATCACGATTTCTTGAAGTTTCAAGGAAAATAGAGCACCTACCCAACTTTCTAGAAATATTAGGCGGGAGTGAGAGCATCCTTCAATAGACTTCACCGACTAATGCTCAAAAAGATTGAAAATTCCCATTCACTATCAAAATAAAGAAAGAAAAATAAATCATTGATTCACCACAGAAAAATAAACTTGTACTTTCACAGTGCTGAACCCATGAATTTGCCCATTGAGTGGTGGAGTAAATCTAATACCGCCTGCAAAAAAAATACAAAAATTGAGCACAACCACTAACTTTTCTCCAACCATATACATAGATTAAAAATCCCTATTCACTATCTAAATTAAGAAAGCAAAGTAAATCATTAATTCAGCATAGAAAATTCAACTTGTACCTTTACATTGCCAAAGGCATGAATTTGCCCCTTGAGTGGTGGAGTAAATCTGAGACCACCTGCAAAATTAATGCAAAAATTAAGCACAACCACCAACTTGCAACATCCTTGGTACATTGCTTCCTCAATTGTCCTCAATAAACTTATTTTAGACATTACAACAAACACTTCATGTGCGTTATTCAAATAGATGCAGTGTGGGACTCTGGGGTGCTTATGGTGGAGTGGTTTGGGTGTATCTGACCAATCCCATTATTTAGATTAGTGTTGTTTTTGCCACATTAGTAATGGACAGTCAAGAGTGAAGACGAAACAATAACAAAAAATAAAGGCAACAAAAAGTGGCGAACATATTGTCTTACCATTTTTGTTCTACTAAATTGTTGTAAAATTGGATTTATCGAGTTCGTCACCAATCTGATCTTCACAAACCATTCAACTTTTAAAACCCATATATTGAACCAACCGTTTATACAGGAAAAATCAAAGAGGCTGGGTGGCTATGTTAATGGGAGGTAGGGCTGTAGTGATGGTTGTGGCGTATGGGGGTTTGATTAAGGTGGTAGAAAAGGGAGGGGAGAGAGAGAGTACCTAAGAGGAAAGGGTCAAGAGAGCACCGTCGGTGGGTTTTTTTGATCTATGTCGCTGCTTGGCCGATGCCGGATGCTATAGAGAATGAGAGCCCTGTTATTCAAACATAATTATACTTGTGATTCAATAGAGATAACTAAATTTTGGCAATGAAAAACAAACATAAATATATGGGAGACAAATTAAAATTGAGGAAGAGTATATGTGTGAGATACCTGAAATAGGTGCTGGAAGTGGCTATGTGCGTTTAGGATGGGGATTGGGTGGGCGTAGGGGTGTGGTTGGGGGGTGTGAGTGCAGGTGGTTAGAAAGAGGAAGGGGGAGTGGTTTACACGCATGGAGGGGTTGGTGTGGGTGGGGTGTGTTGTGAATGTGTGCAGCTAGGGAGGAGAGAAAGAGACGGAAAGGGATCCCTGAGAGAGAGAGCCGCCGGAGTTACAGAGTGTTAGAGAGAGAAACCTGTCAAAATTCTTCAATCCGCGAACGGATTTTTGTTACAGAGTAATGCTACATAAATTTAAAAAATAAATTTAAAAATTAGACTTGATAATCATCGTTGTGATACCAGCATTTATTGAAATTCACTACCTATTCAATAATTGAGATTATCAAGTCTATTTTTTAAGTCTACGTAGCATTATTTTTTG